GATCCATCACCTTTTGGAAGATTTCCGACAATTTCTTGGAGCAGGCAAACTGGGCGATCGTATGGCTAAATGCCCGCCCAAAATAGGTGTACCCCAAGTCCTTTTTGTATAATGCTTCGGTACCTTGGTGAAAATATTAATATAATCAGTATGTAATAAATTAGTAATTTCTGCATATATAATTAAACTACATACCTTTAGCGGTCGAGTAGATTATGAACATGCGCTTATAATCGTTAACTTTAGCTTTATCACGTAGGTGAATGCTGAATGGGAGTAAGCTGTATTTTTCTAAAAATTTAATTTAAAAATATAAATACACTTATTACATAAATTATGATAAACTAGTTTCAAAGTTAGTGCTATGCCTTATTGAAATATACAGCCGTATAAAAGCAGAGTTCATGTATTATGTTGTATATTTCAAAGCAAGTTAATAAACAAATGAATGAATTACTTAACATATGAACGTTTGGTTGCATAAAGGACCGATCTGGCAATAGTATAGTGAATTGTATTCAATAGTTATAGTGATTTGAATTTTGTTACAGTTTAATTTTCCACAATAAATTTTGTTCGTAATTAATAAGTTTAAAATATATTAAATTCTTTTACTTAATAATAACTGAAAGAATAATTAGTTAAAATTTTTAACTATAATTAGTTAAATGAAGACAGTTATTTCATTAAATTATTAACTATAACTAGTTTAATAGAACCAATATAATATAAACAACAATAAATTGATTTAAATAAATGATCTAATTTTACTTAAGTTTTTAAATATTCGGAGAAAATTTAAAATCAATAAATATTTATTTAAATATAGTAAATAGATGTTTTAAACTATTATTTAACTAAGTTTTATAATTTATAAAAATTTGTAAATAATTAAAAGTCTATAAATAATAACAAAATTCAATAGTTAATGAATTATTCATAATTAAAACTATAATGTATTTTTTAATGAAACCATATTATGATAACATTTAGCCCAATATGCATTGATATTCTATTCTAATTTAGATCCGCCCCTTTTGCGCGAAACGGATCATATATAAAAATTTCAATAAATTATTAGTATTTATAACGATATTAATATATAATAAATATTAAATTTTATAATAATTAATATAATATATATATATTATATACTTTTATTAAGAATTATCAGAAATATTTAATAAATGTACTAGCTCACCGACTCGACAGCAGTTAAACACAAAAATCTTTGGCTTATTTTGTAGCTCAAAACAATTACGCTCGGAAAACTTATCCAGAATACAATTAATTGACAGCTCATTTTTACTGAATACACTATCACCACCGTAGCCACAAATTTTATCTTGGTAACCATGGCCAATGAACATCATGAAAAATGCATCACCATCGTGTGTATCATTAGCTAGGTCATCCAACACCTTATCAATTTCTATACTGGATTTAAGCGCACAAATTGGTTGAACATCGAAATGCAACTTGGTCAAAATAAACTCAAATCGCTTAGCCTCATTCATTAGCTCCGGTATGTTGACAATTATCAATGCCTTTCCCCTCGGATTAGAGTCCATTTTGAATGTATGAGTGGTGTCCGACCTTTTTGAGATTGAGCCTGCCACGCTCAATTCAATATCGTTAACATACTCCATTAGGGCTTCGGACTTGTTGAATTCACGTAGTTTATCAGCGGCTATTTTTTGCCCTGATTGATCTAGTATATCGGCCAGTTTGTCGCAATTATCTCGCTCATATGCGAATACAGAAAATATTCGCACTTTCATCTCACCCTTGTTTGCAAGTTTCTAATTATATAAAATATAACAATTAATTAAACAAATTAAAATCATCAATCATAAATTAATCAGTTAGATAGGTGTTTTTATTTATTTTTATAATTAATCATTTTTACTGCAATAAAAAACATTATTATACAATATTATTAGATACATAGTTATTTATTTTAGCTAAACAATGAACTTAACAAAAAAAGATAACACTATTTTAAATAAACACAACTTATTATTTTATTTTATATTATACTTTAATAATTTAAAGTCTAAATAATATTTAAAAATCATAAACATACCGTTATGTCATCTAGCATAAAAGCAAATGGGTGGCTTTCTAATAAACCTATAAATTCATCAGTTAAATCAACATGTTCAATAAAATTGCTAAATTGTAAATTATAAGCTTTTTGTGGATTTTCTTGCTCCATAATTTAGCTAAGTATAATAATATGATATAAAATATACTAATGTTACAGTATGTAATAATTTAACCTCTTAAACATGTTAACAGTATAAAGTATTTACACCATATACGGCTATAATAATTATTTATTGTAATAAATAGTGCACTATTAAATGATAAAGGTAAGCAATTATGATGATAAGATGAATTATAGAAATTATATCATAGGGATTATCAGCAATCACAATAAAATTATTTTATATATTTTATTAGTGATTCATAAAAATATATACATTCCAATTAAATGCCAAATGTGTTAATTATTAGTAATTCATTAATATTTAATATACAACAAATAGGGCTATAATAAAAATTACATGTTAAATTATACAAACAAATTCGTAGCTAAAACTTTAGTTACATTTAATAATTATTATAACACAAACAGCATTAAAAAATAATACAAATACCCTACTCGTAATAATTAATCAGATATATAAAGTTTTTCAATAAGATACTCATAGTAATTAAATTCATGAGAACTTAATTGCGATATAAATCTGTTTGTAATTTTGTGGCAAATATATTGTTTCATAGATTTCATGCAATTATCGTGAAATATATCATTGAATTCATTGATTATATCAGTTATAGTCCGTTCGTTGTCATCATTACTATCATCTCTCATAGCGTTAACAAAATCCTCCAAATCGTTGATATTTATGCCATAAATACGTAAACATTGTTTACTATTGACAAAAATTATGAGTAATCATTTTAAATAAAACAGTTAAATTATTATTTTAATTTAACAAGGTCACATACTAAATATAAAGTATTTATTATAAAATACAATTATATAAACTAGGATTTTCTAATATATATTTATACATTTAATTTTATTAGTCTATTTAAAATATTTAAAAATTTAAATACTCTAAATACTTTTAAAATATATAATAATAATAATAATATTTTAATTAAACATGGTACTCACTTTCTAAAAACTATACCAAATAGCTCGTAGGCTATGTCCCCGATAAACTTAATAGCTTGAGTAGTAAGTGGTATATCATATAAATTCATGAGAACTTAATTGCGATATAAATCTGTTTGTAATTTTGTGGCAAATATATTGTTTCATAGATTTCATGCAATTATCGTGAAATATATCATTGAATTCATTGATTATATCAGTTATAGTGCGCTCGTTGTCATCATTACTATCATCTCTCATAGCGTTAACAAAATCCTCCAAATCGTTGATATTTATGCCATAAATACGTAAACATTGTTTACTATTGACAAAAATTATGAGTAATCATTTTAGATAAAACAGTTAAATTATTATTTTAATTTAACAAGGTCACATACTAAATATAAAGTATTTATTATAAAATACAATTATATAAACTAGGATTTTTTAATATATATTTATACATTTAATTTTATTAGTCTATTTAAAATATTTAAAAATTTAAATACTCTAAATACTTTTAAAATATCAAAATTATGCTAATTTAAAAAATAATTTAAATTTAACTAACATTGATTAAAGGTAATTAAATATAGTGCTAATTTATTTAAAAATATATAATAATAATAATAATATTTTAATTAAACATGGTACTCACTTTCTAAAAACTATACCAAATAGCTCGTAGGCTATGTCCCCGATAAACTTAATAGCTTGAGTAGTAAGTGGTATATCATTATCATCATCATCAATCAATNAAAATATATAATAATAATAATAATATTTTAATTAAACATGGTACTCACTTTCTAAAAACTATACCAAATAGCTCGTAGGCTATGTCCCCGATAAACTTAATAGCTTGAGTAGTAAGTGGTATATCATTATCATCATCATCAATCAATGGACCAAGGTGATATACCGATTGCTCAATTAAAGTCTCAATATCATACAACATTAAATACCTACCGATCCTCAACTTATGGGCAGTTAACACATGTCTGAGTAGGAGTTCCTCATCCAAGTCCTTGTCGTGTGTTTCGCGTAAATACCGAATAAATTCAAGTAATTCTTTCATAAATTCATACGATATGTAGAAATCGATTGAATTCGTGGCCAAAGAATTAAATTTTGAAAATATTTCCCGTTTTTCGTCGATAACGTCAACCAATGTTTTGACGCAGAATTCCGTGGCTATGAATAGCGAATTGTTTTCGATCCAAGAATTATAGTATTTTACAGAATATTCTGCACTCGAGTTAACACGAGTCCGGAGCTCATTGACATAGGCTTTCATTTCCGTAAATGTATCTTGGACAAAAAAATAATTAAAGTTATATTAAAACTTATCATAATTATTTTGAATAGTTTATATACTGTATGTACTAGAAAAATTAGCATCGTTGTCAAATTATTTAAGAATAATGTTTACTCACGAGGTATATCACATTTTAAAATTTTATAATTTTTATTTTCATCGACTTTAGCAATATATTCAGTTAAACCACTGTAAGTACCAAGCTCATCGGTTATATTAAACACCCATTCATTTACTGGAATACAACCTGTAAATTATAAATAAAATTTTAATAAATATTTGAATATTTATATAAACTAGCGTTACCTTGCTGGTTAAGAAAATTGCAAATTGGTTCGCATTTAATATATTTTTCAAATAAATATTGATTACTTGTATCCAGTACGCTATCAAACAATTTGACATTATCCTCAACAATATTTGGTTTAATCATAAATGTCTGTAATTGTGATAATATTGTCGCGCATTCGGGTCGTTGCCGCCAATCTGTTGAACCGTTTTTGCAATATTCANTCCAGTACGCTATCAAACAATTTGACATTATCCTCAACAATATTTGGTTTAATCATAAATGTCTGTAATTGTGATAATATTGTCGCGCATTCGGGTCGTTGCCGCCAATCTGTTGAACCGTTTTTGCAATATTCATTGACAGCCATTGACACCAAGAGTTTGTACACATTTTCTAATGCAATTTCAATTTCATTATTATCTAATCCAGGTGACATGCATCTATAAGTGAATTAAAAATATTTAATTAGACACTTTATAATTGAGTTATGTATTGGTTCCTCATCAAAATTATAAGCTAATTGGTATTTGTAACTTACATATTAATTATTATAAAAGGTACATTACAACTCTGCTTTCTAACGACTATTTTAATAAAAAATATTATTCTAATGTTATACTAAAGCAAAGTTTAAGTATACCTTTTAAGTAATAATATTTGTATATATACCATGTTTGACGCCCTATAGTGCGCCCCCACAGTATAGTGCGCTTTCATTCTCTACAAAAATACATGTTTCTTACTCAGATAGTGCGCACCCTACGTATAGTGCGCCCATATTATAACATAAATAACTTATATGCCCAGGTATAGATGAATGGAATTTGGGAGTCGTTGATTTGACCTACGTTGATTTGACCTACAATATATATAATGTCAAAATTGAATTTTAGCTTAGTGGTCACTCTATGATAGTATATCGGATTGAAATCGGGTTTTTTGCATTTTTACCCCAACACTCAACTCCCCATAGAAATACATTCACTCTAAGAGAAGTTAGGGGGTGTGTCAAAAATCTAAATTTTGTTAAAATTTAATAGCGACATTGTAGGTCAAATCAACGTAGGTCAAATCATAGACAACCATGGAATTTATATGACTAAAACAACTAATCATCTGAAATACCTAGACATAAGCTTAACACAAGGTGTAGTTAAGATAAGGTGCGTGCACAAAGTACGTACGCAAAATTTTGGTCAAAAATTGGTCCCATCCCCTTACACGCCCATCATACATAGGAATCTAACATGGTGACATACGCTTTGGCATGACCCCCTCCCCCTACCAGTGCCTATGTACTATGAGCACGCCGCCTAAGGAGATTAAACATTTTAAAATTTCATACAAAATTGATTTCATTTACTTGTTGTAGTGAACTAACATTAAAAATAATATAATATTATTAATGATAAGTGCCAACTGTATTTGTGCTATTAGTAATTGAATTAATTTAGTTTTTAAGATTTTGAAGACTGATTTTGTAATTGATTTTCATTTAATTTAAAATTTCTTAAAATTATATACTGTAATTTTCTCAGATATTGCGCACCCTGCGTATAGTGCGCCCTTCTACTTTTTCCCTAAAAATAACTTTTTTTCTCAGATAGTGCGCGCACTATAGGGTGTCAAACAGGGTAAATAAAATTTACACACTTTCCGGAAATTACATCCTTATAATTAAAACCAAAAATTTCTGCACCAATAAGCGCCAGACTATAGACATCTGCCAAGTGGTCGTAATCAGTGCCCATGGCCTCCGGTGCCTGATATCGGGGGTCTCCCACGTCGTCCGACATAACGTACGCACCAATACTCAGCGCCTCTTTAGCCAAACCAAAGTCGCATAACTTTAGGCGCGTTTTGCTGTAATATAACGGCTCCTCCAGCGCTATCAACACGTTATCCGGTTTTAAGTCTCTATGAATGATACGCTTTTCGTGCATATATTGCACACATTCTGTGAGTTCACGAAATATCTCCAGAGATATATAAACCTCAAAACTAGTCATCCGATTAGGCGGTTTTGTAGAGAAAAGTTTTCGCTTTAATTGTAATAAGTTTTTCAATGAATCCAAACACAACTCCATTTGTATGTATAGACTATCGCTTTCTATCCACGAGTTGTAGTACTTGATGGCAAATACGGAGCGAACTTTTATCATGTTTTTGGTTTCCAATAAAAGGTTTTGTTTGTCATTCTCCTCAGTAATACCTTGATAATATACAACAAATTTTTTATTTTAATTATATGAACTAGATAATATGACTATATCATTCTATGACAGGGGTTATTAGTTTTAAATAAAAATTGATTACGGGGCTATTCTCCATAAGTTTATATGAATGTATAACTGATATTAATAATAAGTTTAGTTCATATTTTATACATTGTTATTTATTATTCATTCAAAAGTAATTTTTCAAATTATAATACTGTTGCTTGAGCATAATAGTATTTAAATTATAAATGTAAATGAACTCGTACAATCTACATACCACTTAAATCACAAATCTTGACAGCATACAGCTCCATTTTATGAACATCTCTAACTAATTTAACAGTTCCAAAACCACCTTTACCAAGATCATTTAATACTTCAAACGTATGATCAAAGTGTTTACAACCATGATCACTTTCCATATCTAAATATTCATAATAAAAATTATTTTAAAAATTAATTTAACAACTATTTTCACCATAATATGTACTATCAGGCTCCATTGATTCAGTTTGATTATCACTAGTTATTTCAACAGTAGATACAGTCATTTGCAAATTTTTTGCATAAAAATCATCAAGATCATCAAACGTGGTTAACTGTAAAATTTCATTTGCGTCTAAAATTTGATACATATTTCCGGCACATATTCCCGTAATTATAGATAAATCCCTTTGATATGTGAATATTTGTCTCATTTCACTGAACAGTAAATTAATTACAGTTTTCACGCAATTCTTGTCAAAATCGTATGAACACAGCGTGCCATCAGTTTTATGCAAATATAATGTATTTTTAAATTTAAACACATTTTCTACACAAATCACGTTTTCTAATAGTTTAGGTGAATATATCTTGACGTCATTTATGAGACCCCACACAAACACCTCCCCGTCCGGTGTGACCGCACACGTTATTAATTCATAGCAAATAATTTTTAAAATTTTATATCCTATGGGAAACTCAATGCTAATTGATGTGGATATTGTATACCCACACCCTATTTGCCCGCATTTGTTACTGCCCCAGCCATACACCTGTCCATTAGTGGTTAACACAAGTGTATGATTTTCACCGCAACATATTTGTTGAAAAATCATCTCGATGGATTCATTTATAGTAATTAAACGTGGTTTACAATATATTGCGTCACTCCTATCACCTTGCTCTAATTCTCCCCATTTGTTGCCAGCCAACCAGAATAATCTATAAATAAAATATGTATAATATATGTAAAATAATTTATCATATACTGAGTATATTATACTCTATATAATTTTTCATATACTGTATTACCTTTATAGAAAATATAATTTGATTTAATTTATAATATATTATATTATTTATAAAATTATGTATTAGTATTAGCCCTGGTCCGATACAACTAAATAAACATTTAACACAAACTTCAGTATGACTGTACTGGTCAAATAAAGTATTATGTATTAAAATATTTAAGCTAAATAAAACCCAACCTAACCTACCACATTTTAAAAATAATAAAATATCAATTTACTTTTTACGATCCCTATCCAATGTTACCACAAAATCTAATCCATTGAAAAAATGACGTATATTTTGATGGCACAACTCCGGTATTAGTACCGGTGCTTCAATGGGTTCGTTGTGTCCCAACCCGAGCTGAGCCCACCTATTGCTGCCCAACGCGTACACCGAGTCGTCGGACGTCACAAATAGTATGTTATTTCCGCGGATGTCATCGAAAATGTAAAATAATTTTATTTCTCGCCTCAAATAATTGTCAATTTTACGGCAAATATTGTATTTATGAAGTAGCAAGCTCATTGTTATTCACATAAATTAATGATAATATATATGAATCAAAATATCAAATAGTGGCTTATTTCTTATTTCTTACTACTAATTTATATTGAAAATTATATGTTAAATGTGAAAACCAATGCATTACTCAGTTTCAGAAATAGGCCTCTATTTGATATTTTGATTCATATAGATTTTTATGAGCTAGTTAGTTAAATTATTATACTAGACAAATAATTGTAACAGCACAATTTAATATTTACAGGACATGTTATAAGGTATTTAATACCTCTATGAATAATGTAATTTGCTAACATTATTATTAAATGTTGTTTACGTTTTATTTTTAATATTAAATGTCTATGGTGATATTTGATAAGATTGTTGCTACGCTAATTTCTGATTTATAAATTATAAATATTATGATAAAATTATATAAACTATTATATATGCAACTTGAGATTATGTATCAAAGTCATTTTTGTGGACACTTTATTGAAATAGCATAAAATTATATTAGATAGGTCTAGCATTTATTAATATTATTAGTTTGGTTGCTAATATCTAGATCAGCCAGTTCCATGTATTACAAATTATTACAAATAGTAATAACTATAGGCTATAAGTTATAGCATTACTAAATGCCAATGCTACCTAATTTTGAAATTTTGAATTCTAAATATTTAGCCCTCATTTGGTTTACAGGAGGCTCTACAATATGCTATTTATTATATGCATCATTGTTTACAGATAACAATGTTTTGATTAGATTAATTACATTTTTATTTTTAATTATTTATTTAATGTTATTATTACTATTAATTCAAATCTCATCGCAAATATATAACGAAACAAATAATACATATATTGCATTGAATTCATACATAACTCATACAAAACTAATACCAATTAAAAGCAAACTTAAGGTATGAATCTCTCTCTCTCTCTCTCTCTCTCTCTCTCTTTCACACAATATTCATTCATATAGTTATCAAATATAATGAAAAGGATTGGCAAACATAGGGTTGGGTTTTATTGTTGGAAACTATTCATTATAAACAGATTCCGTGGATATGAGATATTTGTAAAACATTTATACTGTATTATAGTAAATATAAAACATTTTCTCAAATCATTTCAGATTATATCACTCATCTGTTTACTATTCCTCCGATTGTGTAAATAATCTTATATCTGAAATAATCTCATAATTTGTATAATATTTTTAAAATTTGTCAAAGATCATTTTAAATATTTTTTGTCAAGAACTATAAATTGTTTTATTTAATATATTCTAGTATACTTTAAATACAATAACTATTTTTATGATAAATCAATATTTTTACTGGCTAATAATAATATTATAAATTAAATACTTTATAAATATTGTCAAGAACTATAAATTGTTTTATTTAATATATTCTAGTATACTTTAAATACAATAACTATTTTTATGATAAATCAATATTTTTACTGGCTAATAATAATATTATAAATTAAATACTTTATAAATATTGCGCTTACGAAAATAATTTTAAGTTTAAAAACAGTTTAATAAATTATTATTTTTACACAAATAAATGTTGCTATACAATAATTGCATGCATTTATGGGACTTATATAATATAACTATTATGACAATATATTATTAATAACAACCCACAAAATACATTCATACAATACTAATAATACAATATTGTTATACCAGTTAAATTATATTTTTTACCTAAATATCTTAATACCGGGTTTTATTTAATTTTATTTACCTTGAACTCGTATTTTGTTATTCAAGTATATTTAGAGGTCATTTATTATTGTAATATTTAAATACATTTAGACGGTATTTTCATTTATCTACCTAAATACCATTTATGTAATTATACTGAAAAATATATAAAGAATTTTAAATATATACTGTAATAGTTTATTTGCATATATTGTTTTACTTATTGTAATTAATAAACTAATTACAAAAAATAATAAGTTAAATTACTAACGTATATTAGGTGTATTTATGTTATTTATTTATTAAAAAATCTACAAAAAGTTATTGAATAAAAATTTATCAGATAAATGGGTGGAAAGTACAGAATAAATAGGTTTTGTTTAATGTACAGTATATTTATGGAAATAA